CCAGCAAACCGCACGGCGGCTGCAGTGCCTTTGGCTCCATTAATGCCAGGACTAGTAGTGAAATAGCAAAGGAGCTGGAGGAACAGTTTTACACCCTGGTTCCTTTCGGTAGGAATGAGCTCCTGTCTCCTCTGAAAGACAGTGATGAGGTAAAGTCGCTGTGGGTCAACATTGACTTGGCTCTTTTGTCCAGGATTCCAGAGCGTTTGCCCGAAGAGCCGCTGGCCATGAGTGCCGGAGCAAGCCAGGCGGCCAGCCTCCCGCAGGGTACTAGTGCTGACCCCCCCACAGAGAAGGGTTTACCGAAATCTAGAAGGAAACGCAAGGTGAGCTTCGGGGAGACTGTTTGGGGCGGGCAGGGGGGCCTCCAGCAAGCAGGAGGCAGGCATCGCTTGCACCCACGTCCAGTGCTCGATGGCGGTGTTGTCTCCAGGCTGGCACTTAAGATCTGGCATTTGTCCCTGCTCGCCGCATAAGAACTGGCCAAGCCCCAAGGGCGATGGCATCCCAGGAGGTGATGAAACTCCTGGACATGAGGGATCACAGCCCTTTGAAGACGGTGTTAACTGCTGGCACGTGGCTTTCCACTCCTTAGCGAAGGCACAGCCTTTTTACTAGGATAGTTTTTTTCTCCTGAGGCTTCCCTCAAAACCTGAGCCTTTGGAGGTGATGCTTAGGTTGGCAAAGGCAATATAAACAGCTGTCTTGTCACAGTCTGCATGGTATCACTGCATGTACAGAAAAAGGAGAGGCAGAGCCTTTTTTCCCCTCAATTGTCAACAAGAGAGGAGTCCTTCAGTCCTGGCAGGGAGTCCCGGCTTCGTGGGGATGCGCTTGCAGAGACCTGGGACCTGTCTGGCTCTGCAACCTGCCTCCCTTGCACCCCGGCGGCCCTCTTTTACCTCGGGGCTCTCAGACAGGTGTGCAAGTGGGAGTGCAGTCCGTTAGCTGCCCCCTCCCCAGCAGCACCATCACAGCAGCCAGGTGGGCACAGCCCTCTTGTCACATCCACCCCTCCGCCCTGAATCTCCCATACGCTTCTGGGCACTGAGGAGAAAGTCCCCTCCACTTCATGGCCACAGCTGTCCACTGAGGAGGCTTTCCGGTCCATTTGTACTGATCTGACCCCAAAAGTCACTCTGAACTGGAATCACCATCTGCCCAATTTCTGGACCGTTTTACGGTGCAGTTGTCTGTTGCCCTCTGAGCTATTGTATGTGTGCAGATTGATCCGTTTATTTGGGGGGGGATTGTTTATCTGAAGCAGTCTTTCCTTTTTTTATCTTTTTTAATTTTTTGGTTCTTCTTTTCATATCTGAAAGGTGGCAACCCTCTTCTGGCCACAGGTAGAGCCATAACAGAGAGCTCTGATAGGATTTAAGATGTGTTTGTCTGCATTTTCTTTAGGAAGTAACATGGAAGTAATTGCACAGTACAAAATTATGGGGAACAGGCCAAGAACGAGTGGCAGAAGCAAAAAATGTATGTTTTGTGTCACAGGAGATGCCAGTGTGATAATGCCAGGCTGTACACACAGAAGGAAATAGGAGGACACAATAGAAGAGCAAAATAAATATAGTCATGCTGGAAAGGCTTAATCCGACTTTCTGTGGCTGATATTATCTTCTAGTCTTCTGTCTTTAATCACCGCCATTTTGCCCCTCAGCCTGGAAAAAGACCCTCAGTGGGATGGTTGCCATGCATACTCACAATATGTGATCCCCCTTCCCAAAAGACTTTACGAGTAAGACTAATAAGAATGGATTATCAGGCATAACTGCAAAATTAGAAGGAGGTGCTTATTACTTCCACCTCTGTCATGAGCTCAAGACGGGCAACCGAGAGACAGAGGATGGTTAAGCACTGAGGTTTGAGAAAATCTTGACTCCTGTGGAGTATAAGCTACAATGTTAACCCTGTAGCAGCAGCCACAGTGGCAGTGGATAACACAAAAATGTTGCCGTGCAGCAAGGCAATAAATACAGCAGAATCAACAGATCACAAGTAAAACTCAGCCAGCACTGGAAAATGGAGAAGTGTTAGAAGTGAAGAGGATGTGGACTTTGCAGGAGGGGAGGAAAACAGGGCCACTGGGAGCCAATGACAGAACCTGAAGAACAAAACATGAAATTAAGTCCCAAGCGGTGGCACGCAGTCACCCGCTTTTTTCAACTGTTAACATGCTTGCTACGTGGTTTTGGCCTGGATCAACTTCTGTCCTTCCAGACAGTGTCTGGCCCTTGCTTGGGACCAGACTAAGGTCCCTTTCCAAAAGGTAATCTGTGTGTGGCATACCTTGGTTTGAAGGAGGAGCGAGACGAAAGCATGGGTGCTAGCTGTGCCATGTCAGTTGGCCTCCGGACCAGTCGCTCGCTGATGTGTCGTATGTAGTAGCATAGGTGTAGTCACTGATGCCACAAAAAGAGAGAGAGAGAGACAGAAGAGGTATGAGGTTGAGGACTAGGCAGGAGAAAAGCACCCAGGAGATGGGCAAAGAGGGCAATATAAAGAAACAGTATCCTCAGGTGCAAGTGGGGAGGTGGTTGAAACAATTCAAGTTTTATATTCTACTCCTTTGTCTACGCACTGCCTCTTTAGATTTTATTTTTTTAAGACATGGACCAATCGTCTCTGACCCATGTTAGGTGTATGCTCAAAGAAAGTGTCATCATTAATACCAAAATGCCAGAAAACACCAGCCCCTGACTTGCTGAAATGCTTTTGAATCTGTAGTAAATCCAAAACTTACAAGATTATTGTTTTTCTCTTCACTCAGTGTGAGAATGAGGAAGAGTGCAGAGACATCAAGAAGACTCATTTAGAGCGAGAGGGTTCTTCGCGATTAGCTGCCTCTGCCCATAGCATCCCAACAGCAAATCACTGCAATATGAATGAAAATAGGTAAGCATTTTCCTTCTTATTTACCACTGAGTCATACAACTAGTTGCAGTTTAATACCGTGTGATATTTTTTTCATTTAATAGGATTTATTTTTTAATTATCACATTTTATGTTGAAAAATTGCCCACTGCATTCTCCTTTCTTCTGGTTTAATGAACAAGTTAGCAGCTCCTGACACATTTATATACTCGCATTTTTGTCCTATTGCACAAAGAAGTTGTGAGTTCAAGTGTGAGGCTCATGGAATGAATAATTATAGCTAGAGCAGTGTGATCATCCAAGACATATTCCCAAGCACTATGTTGTAGGAACCAATTCACATAGGCAACCATCTTACAGCCTTTTCTTTTCTTACAATGTTACAAGTTTCAAACTTAAAGTTTGACTGTATAAATAAAATTATCTATAAACTATATGGAAAAGATTGAGAAAAATATTAATGACAATGCCTGAAATACTCAGTTCCAGAATATATTTGAGATCCAATGTTTTTGAGATTACAGGCAATGCATTGTGTGTAATTAGGATGTATTTTAGGACAAGGAACTCATACTTTTTACAAAAACAATGAGATTTTCAAAGGATGCAGGACATGAAACGAATGATGAATATTTAGCATTTGCTGGCATGGTTTATGCACACAGACCCCTATCAATGTCAAGTCAATCATACTGAGTTTCTCTGGAGGCTTCCAGCAGTCAAACTTAGACATGCATCTTTTCAGAGTTCAGCTGCATGCTGCTTACTACATGCTGGTCATCAGTACTTCAAAAACAAAATCATTTTCTGGCAATATCAAGGCATCTCTTGGGGTGGAACTGCTTAAATTAGAGAATAGTTGTATTTATTGTAGTAGGGTTTTCTGTTGTACACATCACTGATGAGTTTGAGCAATTCTTGTCATTAATACTGGAAAAAATCATGGAGAAAATGAACATATATAGTGCTTATTCAAAAATATGCATTCAATTTCTTTGTCCTGACATTTCACATATGTTTCATAAAGTGAAAACAATACACAGAACAGTTTGTTTTATTGTGGGTGATTGCATGCAGGCATGCCATTGCTGTTACCACAGTGTCGTATGTTTTACGTCGCATTCATTTTCAGAGAATAGCATGGCTGTCATAGCTTGCTGTGTCACAGGGTTAATTCTGTGGTTCCTGAAAGCAGGACAATAATTTGTGTTTTGCTTGACATTATATTCAATACTCGTGGTAGCAACTGTACATTAAAGAAACAAAGAATGTGGTCTTAAATATGTATTTGCCTCCTAATTCTTTCCTGGTCTGCCCTGCTTCCAAGATGTTTCTGTGGTTTATGCTGCTGTAGGACATGATACAAAATGCTAATATTCCCACAGCTGAGGATGGGCTGCTGAGGCTGTAGCTAAACCAGCAGTGCAGGTATCAGGACCTCCTGGCCCTCTTGCAGCCAGTGGCTGGTCATGCTGGAACATCCCCCCTCCACTTACGCCACCATAGCAACCTGTGGGTCTCCTGTAAATTCACTCAAGAAACTTGTCTGAATCAGAATTCTTTTTCTCTTTTTCTTTTTCTTTTTCTTTTTCTTTTTCTTTTTCTTTTTCTTTTCCTTTTTCTTTTTCTTTTTCTTTTTCTTTTTTTCTTTTTCTTTTTTTCTTTTCCCTGGGGCGGTTATTATTCTTCAGCTCCCAGCAGAGCCACACAGATAGTTTTATCAGTACAGCTGAGGGCTGGTAGCAAAGAGAGGAGCAAAACCGCCTTCAGACATGAGCATTTTCTACGTGGAATTACAGTCTGCGGTGCAGACTAAGCAAGGCCCTGTTTGACAGGAAAGGCTGCAGCATCAAAAAACGGTCAAAAACCCAGTATCTTGCACTTCTGTTGGGTGCCACAATCTGCCCAGTCCCAGCAGATGATGGCTCGCTGCAGGTTGTTCTGCATGGCTTCTCAGCGTAAGAGGATTGTGCTGCTGCAGTTTGACTGCTCACAATACACTTAGGTGGGCCCTATGCAATGTGCCGAAGGCCATGGAGAAGGTCTACAGCTCAACTAGAAATTGCAGCTACTCCTCACAAGCCCTGGGCCAAATTTTTGAGGCTTGAGTACGCTTCCAAAGAGCTATGGCTTCTCTTGGATGCTTTAGGCCTGCACTTTGACAGTGATGTATAAACATGGCCAGCCAAGGCATGGATTTATGTTTGAAAAGAGAAAAAGGAAATCAGCCTGCACATTCAAAATAGTGCTAAAGGTCTTATTTTGCGCAGGGAGAGAAGAAGGGCGCAGTTGTCCATCTTACACACCCTGATTCTTCCTTTCATAAACAGCATTGGTCATTAAAGCAAAACAGTTCACATTGTGTTTTGAAGGTACTGTGCTGTGGGAAACAGGAAGGGTTCTGAATTGCGATTCATGGCTTCTCTCACAGCTAGTTTTTAAAGACTTGCCAGATAAATGGACAAATGTATGATAAGAGCACATTTAATTAGCTCTGTTCCCTGAAATGATGTGCAGAAATAAAGTATAGTTTGTACCATATTCTTTTTTGCGATTCCATTAAGTGTATACTGTCTGATACGGTAACGATAAAGAAGTGAGAATTGTCCATAAAAAGTAATAGGCTGAATAAAGGGGAATGTGACAGGGAAAGGTATTGTGTTAAAATAGTCTGTCTGACCTTAATCACAGTTCTAGTCTCAATGCAAACTGTCTCCTTAAAAAAACTTTTATGTGTGTTGCTTTAAGATTTTCAGCTAAATGTTTTCTTCAAATTAGTGCATCTGAAGTTTCTGGGCATATTTTTACAGTCTGTCTGACTTCTCCTCATCCAAAGCTTCTCCTAAATAAAGGAAAGCTGAAAATACTGTCTATGTTACAGCTTTCTTCTTCAGCAGACGGAGCAGCTCACATTTCTGTGTGTCTACTGTTTGCATATGTTTCCTTTTGTCCGCAGTACCAGCCTATCTTTCTTTGTCTTCAAAATCTGTATTAAATTAGTATAAACAGTGCTACCAAAGGCTGGGCATTGAGCACAAAGACAAGCCAGTCATCTTTAAGCACATTTCCTGTTTTAGTTCACATATGGTTTTATTGCCATGGCTTATAAATTGTCACCTGTAATGGTGAAATAGGGCTCCATAACCTGAACTTACACTTCAGAGCCTAATCTTCGTCTCCAGCTATCCCTTAAGAAATGGTGAGCAAGTGGCCATTTATCTCTGTATTTTTTTTAAGTACTCTGAGACAGATTTTATATTAACTCCAGAATTACAATTTGCCTTGAAGGGAAAGA